TGAGGAAGTTTCTATTTAAGTATGCTGCAAGTGCACAGTAACCCTTGGAGAAAAAAATGTGTCTTAATTCTTCTTGCTTATTAATAACCAGTTTTGTCTCTTATGGACTATTAAAGAAATAAATGCTAGAAGCTTTTATCTTTAAGTAACTTCAGCCAAAATATAATGAGTACGAATCTTCAAAGGAACACTACGTACAAGGAATGAAAGGGGTGATGAAAATAAAAGCTATTTGGAGAACAATCATATGAAAAATTTAATCTTTCAAATTTATATTGCATTTTCCAAAGATGAATTAATTGCATACAGTTGTGGTGAAGGATACAAATATACTTACAGCTTAACACAATAGACTGCAAGGATGTGTGGCTAAGTGGTCTTTTTTTTATTTGATAAAGAAGCACTGGGAAAAATTGGAATGAGTTTTTCTTATGTGTGTGTGTATATTTATATCTATATATATATAACACAATATAATCTTTTGACTTTCTATGTCAATACTTGCATTTCTGAGGTCAAAGCAGCTATATGTGTGTATGTATGGTTATTTCTTTTAGAATATGCACATTAAGTGAACAACCTGATTGACTTCAATGATGAAAAGAATGTATTTTGTCTTTAGCATTGCTGAGCAGGTATCTAACACTATTTCGTGCTCTACTGTAACAGTATCCTGCTTTCTCCATAGCAAAATCTTTGTAGTCCCCACACATCTGAACACGATTAGAGTGTAAGTGTCTGAGCACAAAGCCATGTAATAGAAAACTGCTGCAAACACTTGAGCGCATTTCCTTCATCTGTGGAATTAAATGCCTTCAAGCAAGGGGCAAGCTGCTCAGCATGGGGTGAACACGGCCACCTCCAAACCAGCTTCTGAGTACAGTGTGGAGCTCCCTGTCCTCTTGGTTTAAGCCTCCCTATCAAGCCAGCTCTAGGTCTTTGTATCCCTTGTGTAAACATGGTCTGCAGTGCCTGACCCAGATCTTAGCTGAAAATTAATCTATATTCTAAATGCAGCTGGGCAAATAAAAGAAAAAATAGCCATGAATATTCATTCCAGAATGAATGTCAATTTGACTGTTATTAATGGCCCTTTCATAGTTTGTTTCTAGGTACCATTGAGTGCTTTAGATTTACTGGCATGAAAATGTATTAAGCACGAAGTGTTGTTCTAGCTGGGATGGCAAGGATAAAAGTATGACAAGGTTTGCTTGGAGAGGTAATATGCTACCTTTCAGTAAACCCGGGGAGAGGAGGAGAAAAAAAAAAAAAAAAAAAGGTAAACTTCTAAGTGCACAGCCAGAAGAGAGCCTTTCGTTTCAAGTATATTAGTAGGTTTTATAAAAAACCTGGTGTCTTCCTAGGAACTTTGTTTCTCTAAGAATTTCAATTTACTGTTTGAACCTCGAGTGTTATGCTAATTATAATGTTTTAAATTCATAACTTACATTTAGTACAGTAAAGTGCTGGTTATCAAAAAGGTGCTAAACATCCTCTATTCTCATTGTAATTATTCCGAATTAGCATGTCCATCAACTTTCTCACAGATAAGCATCTTTTCTCATAAGTGGTACTTAAGTGTTGTAGCATCTATGTTTTAGGTGATCAGATAAGTTTCCCTTTTGCAATTGACTAGAGAGATACTCAAAATGTGTTTCCTACAAGCATCTAGGTTGAGCAGAAGAAACATTAACCAGTAGGAAATGCTAAAGAAATTTAAAAATAGGTCTAACACCTACACATCAGTGGCAAGTACTTAAACCTGTGCTTGTAGCCACAAACTCCATATTATGCAGTAAAAAATAAGATCAAATCTCCCTTTTTGCACTTCAAATAAATAAAATAAATAGCAAGTGAATGCTGCCCAACAGCACAGTGGTTGGGCTGTGATGCGAGATTCAGATACACATCCTTCCTCTGCTTCAAAAGACCATTTCAGAAAAACCTGTTGAGCATTTCAGGGGCTTGGTTTTACTGGGAACAATTCTGAGCCTTGTTTTCATTTTGTGCTGAGTAAGAAGTTTCAGAACTTGCTTTCTAGATCAAATCTTTTGGGAAAGGTAGTTGAAGAAATATATAATAAGTAAAAGCCTGGGAAACTAAGGCATGAATTAGTCATTGCAGTAGCTGAAGCCCTCAAGATTTAAGCAGTTCTGTGCTTGCCTGCTAACAGAGATTAGGTGTATACAGCTGATTTGCAGTGGAGTTTCGGTGCCTGGAACCAGCTTGTGAATGCTAGTGCCATGGCGATGTCAGAGGCACCAAATGTCTCTGCTCCTCTTTTAAATGCAGGTTCTTTGATCTCATGCACAGGACACAAACAACAGTCCAGGGCTTTACTAGTATATAATTAATGCACAAAGCACAAATACTTTGTTGTAAAATTCTGAATTCCCAGTATGTTTTCTGTTGCTTCTTGGCATAAATCACATAGCCAGACAATAAAAACAAAAACCTACCAGATGATTTCTATATGTTGTGCAGTCAGGGAAATGTTTGCAAGGAGCTGCAGACTCAAACCCATTCACTGAATAACTGTATATCTTTTCAATAACAAGTACATTCAAGTAATTTTCAGTTCATCTAACAACCTTTTGGACTAGTGAGGTTTACTGAATAAAATATGTTTTTACAAATTACTGGCCTAGCCCTGAAAGTGCTTTCCTGTAAGCTGAGCTTGAAGTCTACAGAGACATGTCAGCTTGGTATGCAAAGAATACAAATAGCATACATAAATAGCAAAGGACATCACAATTCTGTAACAATTTCAGACAAATACTCATCTGAGACAAGAGTAGCCAGGCAGAAAAGCCATAAATATAAGAGGCATCAGTGTCAGAAATAGATTTACAGTAGTCTCAGGTAGCCACATACCATTCACTCAATGCATCAGGGACTGAGAAGCAATACAATTTAATTGCGAGCTGTGACATGTCAATGTTCACATCAGTTTGGAACATATTTCCCCTATGCAAAGCTGTGCATTTATAAAATATTACTCTGACTAAACTGTATTTCTGATTATTTAATTTTTCTTTATAACTTCATTTTGTAGCTTATTCATTTTGTTTAAGTGTAACCCTTTAGGAGCTGCAGGAAAAGCTTTTGGGGGACAGACTGAACTAAGAGACCAAACTTGTTTTACTTTTTGTGATGGTCACTTCTGCACAGGAAGGAAAAGCAGCTTGCCGAGGCTCTCCACCACAAGTTACATGAGAAAGTAATGACAAGAAACCCCGCTGCCAAATGGGAGGGATTGGTTCAGCCTATACACTCAGATAACCACGACTACAATGAAGTAAGCTCCACGTGTAATACAAATGCCATTAGTGGCAAGGGAGGATCCTTGTTTCTTCCAACTAATGTTATCAAGCCCCTAACAGAAGCTCTGCAAGAGAAAAGGGAAGTTTAATAAAAAGAAGAAGAAAAAAAAGTAAGCGAATCTAATTCACCTTTCCACTGACTTCTTTAAAGATTCTGTCAGGATGTTTTGGATTGAAGATATTGATTACCCGCAGGGCAGAAACTTAGAAGTGCATTCAGTATCCTCTGGTACTTAACCTGGGCTGATAACACCCGATAGCCTGTGGGATCTGCCCACAGCTATAGAAATGTGCGCCAGCATGGACACACACAGTTGCACACACATCTATATGCAGGGGGAGTCGCCCGTGTGTCATATGATTTAGGAGTGAATTCAGCCCTCAGTACCAGCGAGGTGAACAGCTGATCCGTTTTGCTTTCAGCCTTGCTTAATGCTGCTGCAGTCCCATCAGCTTTGATGATGTTACGTGTGGTGGGTATGTAAGTGAGGAGGAACAAGCCTATAGGCATGGAGCAGCTTCCAAAGCCTTGTTAAAGGCTGCTAGTTGAATTGCATTGGCATTGTAAATGGACAGTACTTTCCCATTTCTTAATTTTTCATTATTAGATCAATAGCATGTCTGGGATAGCAGTAGGGAGGGAAAAAATTACAAGAGAAAAATCAAATAAAGGGAAAAACTTAATTGCATGAAAGTCCTTAAGCTGCAAAGTTTCTTCAAAAACAGAGCAAGTAATTTAGGTAAGAGAACTGGAGGTGCGTGTCATTCCCTCCACGGGACTGGACACACAAATGAGGCTAGGGTTGGGCCTACTAGCCAAAATGCTCTCAGCTAGTCGAATTCACAATTTTGGGAAAGATTTAGCAGGAATGATGTCTGTTAAAGCCAGGAAGCTTGAAAGTGGATACCCTAAGCCAGCTATAGGAAACACCAAACACAGACTTGTGCTTCCAACTCTGTTCTTCCAGTGAGCCTGGCAGAAAATGTTCCCTCTCCCTTTTTTTCCCCCTATTTTTGACAATTGGCTTCTAAATCTGGTGCTAGATATTTCTCCATATTTGCCCCCTTCTGAATCTTATTCATTTGACAGTTTGGTGTTTAATCCCTTTCTCCATCTCACTTGCATACAACCGTGCTTTCCTTTTTTGTTACTTTTTTGACATTTGTTTTACACAGGGCATCTTTGGGAAACAATGAAATATTTAAAAAAAAATAACTAGCAGGCAAGATCAAAGTGAAAAATATTGCTATACTGACTGTGCTGATAGACTAGTTCAGAGCATCTCTTTGAAAAACAGATTTGCAAAGGCAAATATATAGCAATGATGCAGTTAACTGCTTTCTTTGTTTGTTTATTTTAAAACCAGCAAATCTAGATGACCAGAATGAGGGTGATTTTTCAACATCACTGTGTCTGTACAGTGGCAAGAGCTGCTATTTATTAAAGTACTTCTCATTTTGAAAAATGGGTAAAGGGGGATGTAGATGGAGTGGTTGATTTATGCTCCGTCAAACAGCCTGTGTTTTGCTATGTCTCTGAGCATTTCACAGAAGAGAACCTGTGCTTTCTCTCCATCCACTTTTAATGGGTGTAAAAATTCCAAGAAATGTGTAAATGACCATGGAAAATAACTGAGATCACTGACAAGCCACATTTTCATTGATTTCCAGGATGAAAAGAGTAGCAAAACAATTTTTTGTAACGTACAATACTGTCACAGTAAGGATCAATCCTGAAAAGATCCCTGAAGTCACTGAAGTGCATCGCCATGCAGTTAGCAGAATGTGATCTGTTACCCAGTGGCATGAATAAAGATATTCCCCAGCAATGTAAACTATCTGGGAAATTGCAGCTTTACAGGCCTACAGGTAATGTTTAAAATGAATGGGCAAATTTGTATTTTGTGGGTTGGTTTTTATAGAGATAAATGGACCCTTGATTACAGGCATTGCACTGCATATGATTTGTATGGGGACTGAGAAAGCTGAAGCTGTTTGTTAGTGCTGGCAGCTCGGGCCGTGTGGCACCCAGGGCTGCATGCGAGGCCCTGGTGCCAGCAACGCGAGCGCAGCGTGTTCAGAGAGGCCTTAGGTTTGCTCTAAATCACCCCTTGCTGGTGCGGGCCCTGGCACTGGGGCAAGCTGCAGGGATCGCAGTGAGCACCAGTGTGGCTTAGCATCAGCAACGGAGCATAATGTTTGATCAGTGGGACCTTTAGCAGCAACTGTGTGCAGTCTAATAATGGGCTTTTGCTAAAAGAAGCAATAGCCCCTGGGCCTGACAAATGCGCGTAGAGAAAACAGTCTTCCCTCTGGGCTCCATATAGATATTGCCATGGAGAATCGCCCAGTGAATTCATAGAGAACGGCCCAGTAAGTTGATAATCTCTTCAGTATTTCCTACCTAAGTGTATGGCCATCATGAAACAAGAGGTCTGAAGAGAATTAACTTGCCCTGTCCTCTCAATAGATTGTTAATGGGAAATAGAAATTGCAGTGCAGTGCCTGCCTTAATGATTTAGTTGCTGGGTATTCTAGTGGAACCGTCCAACTCAGATATTTATATTACAGCTCTCTAGCATCTTCTCTGTCATGGCCCAGCTCTCCCCTATGTAGCCATTAAAACTCGCCCGTCTGTGGTCCTTATCTGTGCAACTATGTGTTGCCTCCAGCATATCAAAAACTGAAAATGTGCTGATGGCTTCAGATAAACGGAATTCAATCTCCAAACAAATAACATGGGAGACACTGCACTGTTTAAATAAATAGGCAAATGAGAAATGCAATCAGTTTCTACATTATTGTATAGTAAATTGCCCCAGTCTGCCACAGTGCACTGCAGAATTTGGCCCTGGTGCTTTGCAGACTGTAAGTCTCAAGTACGACTTGATTAACTTAAAAAAAAAAAAAAGAGACTTTGTATTAATAATGCTGATTTTTCAAAAGCTAACACTAGAAGAGACAAGAAAACTTTAGATATAAAAGATACATTGAAGCCAATTAAGGTGCTCGAGATCAAACACTCTTTTAAGGGTTTAATTCTGACAGCTCATGGTTCCTTCCTGAATTTAGGTATCAGCTTGTCCCTTGATTTAACAGAGATAAAAGTTTAATTGGTAAATCTGGCCTTTTTTCCCAAGAGAAGTTGTCACCCATAGCAACTTAGAAATTCTATTATTAAAATTAATCTAGTTATTAAAACAGCATAGAAATTACTTTTCCCCCCCATAATTCTATTATAAGGTACGGTATCCACTTAAAATTGCAGTGACTCTTTGGTGACACTTTACCTAGTGCTATTCCCCACAGACTCCTCAGATCAGATGTTCCTTTGTAACTGGTTTCTATCAACCTTCCCACTGCCAACGTTTCCTTGCTATGGGAACCATATCCCTACCTATCACCGCTTTTTTAAGACTGGCCTTTTTCATTGAGAATGGAAGCATCTTCAGTGCTATGGCTAGTTAATGGTTAATAATCTTTTTCTCTTGTAGCTTTATCTCAAATTATTTTTCTTCTTATGTTGATTTTTTCTGTTTTTATTATGATAGCTGTGTCCTGCAGACATCTTGTGCTGAGATGAAGTTGCACAAATTTTGGTGACCTTTAAATGACTATTCATGGCTCCAGTGATCATTGCCGGGAGATTCTGACACTGAGCTGGATCTATACACTGTAATTAATCCTACTGTAATATTCTTTCCTTGGTATTTTTATCCTGACTTTTTTTTTAATAAAAATTTATGTATGTCCAATGTCTGCCTAACTTTTACAAATGATTTTAATTTGCCTGTGTTGAATTCTTTCCTCATTGCAGATGAAAACTTTCCAAGTTTGCAAGTCTAACTTGGCTTTTCTCCACCCCCTTGCCCTTTTCTGTTGCAAGGAAGAAGGCATTTGCTAGTGAAGGGTTTCAGAGAACATGTACTAGAGGTGACTGCATCTTGCTCATAGGGGCATGTGGAGTGACCTATACCTGGGGCGAGAGGCACGCTCAGCACCTTGGCCTGGGCGCCCTTGCTTTCTGCACCCATACAGGGTGCTGTCTCTGCAGCAGTCTCTGCACCAGTTGGTGTGTGCCCAGCTGAGGGAGAAAACGGGAGAGGTGGAGAGGGAATCATGCATGTTGGAGAGGTGAGAGGTAGGATCTGAGCAGCCACGTGGCTGGCAGAAAGGAGAGGTGATGATGGCCTTCGTTGGGTATTTCTGGGAGAGCAAAGAGAGAGTAAAGAGTGGCACAGCCCAGCCACACCGCTTCATGTAGCGTCCAGAATGGGTCTGCAAGACACATGTTCTAGCCTTTCACCTAGGATGTTTAATGTCATCATCTTGAATATTTTTGTATTTCTTTGAAAGTGCTTAAAAAAAAAAAAAACATAAAAGATGCTACTTTAATTTAGATCATGAGGCTACTCAGAAAAGAATCCATAGCCAAGAGTGTGCAGTTACTGATGCATCCAGAAAGCTATGAGAGACAGAAGTACAAAGCATTCCTTTCCGGCAAGCATCTTCCCAGTCCTCATCATTTATTAGGAGCTTCTGAGACAGAAATTACAGATTGCACCTGCATGATTATATTTAATAGCCACTGAAAGATGAATTCACCATGAATATGTCTAACACCTTTTGGAGCTTGCTTGTATTTTGGTGTTTATAATATGCTGTAGCAATGGACTCTATGATTTAATTACGCACAGCAGATTTATTTCTAGATGTTATGAAAGAGAAAAACATCAGAGATCTGAAAGTTGCTTTTAAGTGAAGGCTGAATGAGAGAAAAGCCAGAAAACCCCCTTCCACTCACCCTCATGCCAGGTCACACAGTGGTAATGCATCCAGAAGTGACTAAGAATGGGGAAAAACAAGAATAGAGCGAGATGAATAGTGGCAGGAGGAGGAAGGATCAAAGAATGCACTGTTTGCAATGACAAGAGTATGTCTTTAGCAGCTAGGCAGAATGCTGTATGTCATATGGGCTAGTTCAGTACTTCTGTGTAGTTCTGATTCTTAATTTTTCTTTCTATGCTGTAGCAACTACTAATTTTTCAAGGTTATGCTTGATTTTGTTTATTTCAGATTTTGTGTATAAATTAAAAATTAGCCTCGGAATTGTCTAGTGGTTAATTGAACATAATTTACTTTAAAGACTGATTTGTTCATTTGGCCTTTGGGCATTGCGAGATTGTATTCTATAGGTCTGTTTCTTAGTCATTTAATAGAAGAATCATACATAGAACTATCATATAATAATAACGTACAAAATAAGAGCCCACAGTATCTAGTGACCCTTTAAATCTGGTAATATACACAAGATAAGAGACCATGGATAATCATCTAAATTCAAACTATTGGAGACTAATCTATATGATTATATTAAGCTCTCAGTTTTCACACATGAGATAGTGGAGATACTAATTTTAGAGGCATGCTTGTAATGGTGAAACATTACTGTCATAATTTAGTACTTCAGCAAATATTGCTTTATTTAAATTTACAAATGCCGTGCATTAAGCTTTAAAAGATGTAATACTGCTTATTTGTGTAATGCTTTTGAAATGAATAATTATCCCCTCATGTCAATAAAACTGAGCCACATTTTTTTTCTGGTGAGTGATTCTAATTCTTTTTACAAAGAAGGTGAAATCATGCCTATGATGATTTGCTATAGATTTCTATCACTGATATGCAATAGAAAAACATGGTACTTGTGGTACTTGCTAATGATCTTTTTTATGATCTTCATAACCATGAAAATGCATATATATGCAGAAGATGGTGCTTTTTAATGATACTTCAGCAGCATGGAATGTGACAACTATGAACTGTTAGGATTGTATATCAGAATGGCTTTTGCATGGCAGTAAAACATGCTTTTGGGGAGCAAATCAAAATAAGCACTTTATAAACTAGGCTGATATTTTTCTTTAGAATAGCAGAAACTTTTCCAGATTTTTTTTTAACCTAAAGCCTGTAGGAATATTACAGAACAACCACTTTGTCAAATATTTGTTCTAACATTTATCTGAATATAACATTATTTGAATATGGGGATATAGTACAACCATTTTGTCAAATATTTGTTCTAACCTTTACCTGAATATGGGTATATAATATCATCTGTATAATCCCTCAGACAATGTTGAGCACTTTTCTTAACCCAGTGCCACCTATAGGTTTTGGCATACCCTAAACTGATATATGGAAATATGGAGCTGGATTATTAGATAGATAATATAGGTAAGGGGATTTATGAGTAATTTGTTTTGATGTTTCCATGGTTTGGACTGGTTAATTTAGAGATTAAGAAAAAAAATCACTGGGAAATAAACAGTAAACAAAACCACTTTTTAAAAACAAAATAAAAACACTTGAAATGCTGCTTATCTGCAACTCTATGTAAAACAAAGGTTTTCAATAGACTGAGGCTTATTGGTTTTGTCAAGTACATAAATAATAGGTAAGCAATACATTTTAGGAAAATACCTGGAAGGGGTTGTAGTGCGTGTTTTGTATTCACACCTCTGGTTGTTACAGTGCATAGCTTGCAGGAAAAGACAAAGACTCCAGACACCATCAACTGCAAGGAGCTGAATATAATAGCAATGACAGGGAGAGATTTCACTGGCAAACCTTTCCTGGCCTCTGATTGATAGCCAAAGGCACTGTTATTTTAGGAAAACCTCTTCCACTGTTCCTTCTTTGAACAGTGTGGGGTGGGAGCAGAGAGACATATAGCTATAGGATCAGAAAGGGTGATAAGAACACTCTGTTTTCATCTTCCCTCAATACACTACAGCAAATAACAGTATTTTTATTACATGTCATTATTGATTTAAGAGATGAATCTCTGAACACTTACTTGGGGATGATCACCTCAATTTCCTCCTACTCATTTGCACCACAGGTCTCATTTACCTCTCTTACTTTTTTTCCTCCTCCTCTTTCTTGGAGCACATATGAAGAGAAGAAAACGAAATCTCAAAGAACATGAAGAAGATTCATCTTGCAGATGACCTGCTGCCAGCTGATTTCCCTGTAGGATTTTTAGACCTTGCTGGGACAGGTAGGCAACTATTTGCAGGTTCATGAACGTGAAATATGCCTGCCTCTTAGCAGCAGGATGGCATGGAGATTTCATGCTATTTAGGCCCAAGGGAAAAGGTAATAATCTCTAGATAAAAAAACATTCTGCCTACAGCTAAGCATTTTGCACTTGAGAACACAGAACAACTGGCAGCCTTACAGCCAGAACTACTGTTGTACTTGGCTGATTAATTCCTACTTACTTAATAAAATATTAAGAGTATAGGACTTTCTTCTACCTGCCTAATGTGCTTCTCATTTTTTTTTTTCCATTTGAAAGCAATTTTTGAAGAAGGTGTTATTAAAAAGATATTTTACACTGGTTCATTTGACTGACATCTAAAGAGCACTTATTTGAGCATGCGCAGTTCTTTATGGTAATATAGCAAGGAGCTCATTGCTATAAAGAAAAGCTCAAGACCTGACTTTGAAGAAAATAGACAACTTCACATATGCAATAGAGTCAATGTACAGTAGTGGATTCTTTTTTCAGAAGTATTGAAATTTTATGCAGAAAAAAAGATCTGTATATTATTTAAGGTACATTACGATTTGGACTTCATACTGCTTTCCACTTTCCTGTACGAACAAGACAGCACTTGTATGGAAATAAGAGCACAAAGGCAGGCAGAAATGAGAAAGATGAAGTGACTGCAGCATGTTCTTTCTTTGCAGTCTCTGCTCTGCAGAGGTATGGGCTGCAGGTGAATGGAGCTGCATCGCAGTGTTGGGAAGGGAGGAAGACAACAGACTCCACCCCAGGCAATCTGAGGTAGGTGTATACTTTAGACCACCAGGCATCCAGCAGCAAAGTACTCAGATCAAATCACTGATTCAGAAGTATCTCCTCCCCCGGGAAAATCAAAATCCCATCATTTTCAACCCCATCACCCTTTTCTGACCACATTCTCATTTGGAAAGGGGTCACTGCCCTTAGAAAGCAGATAGCAATAGCACACCTAGCAAAACTCATGAGTAGGAATAAAGAGACCCTAGATGCCGAAAGCAGCTTCAGGAATCATCTAGTAGATGGGAGGTTATGCACTCTTTCCCTTGCCTTTGATATCTAAGTGCAATTCTAAGTGTTTGCTCAGTCTGAGAGCCTGTGTGTATTCACCACAGACTCTCATAGCTCACCTTTACACTGAGAGAATGTTGGCCCTATATTCTCCAAAAAAGAGGTATCTCAGAGGAAAATGCAATGAGGATTTGGTAGCCCTTGAGCTGATGAATACAAAAAATGTAACTAATATGCATAAAATCACAACTGGCCATCTTGGGTCTTTTCTGGGGTTCTCTGGGAGTAAATACTTTCTTCTTGCTTTAAAGGCAAAGGAGTACTTCAGGAAATGTTTTTGCTGTTTTGCAGAGCAGAGGAGAGCTATCACTTTGCACTACATTGAACTTGGAATAGCTCATATAAGCATATGACTAACATGTACTTGTTTCATTTTTTTGCACAAGTTTTATTTTCTTAAAATTTCTAGGATACCAAATGCTTATTCCAAGTCAGATATAAAATGTGGAGTATGATCATTCTGGAAAAGTCAAGTACATTCTTCTTCCAGCTTCCTATGTCAGATGAACACATGTTTTGCAATATCTATGCTAGCAACCATCAAGAGCTCAGACATAGAATTTGCACCTTGATTCAATGATCTTTAATGATTTAGTGCTAAAGTTTGACCATGCATACTTCACTGAAAAGAATGGACTTGAGTTGATGCTTACATATGTTCTGTGAATGATG